TTGCCAAGTTGGTGGCAATGTGTGTTACTGACAATACCTTTTGAGCTAGTGTTTAAAAGGTTTGTACCATTGAAGGTGTTTCAGACCAGTGGCCACTACAATAGAACATCTTTGGCAACCACAGACATATGATAGGTAATTCACAGCAGCTGGAAGAATTGTAAGATATTTACGAAGTTCTATAATGCATTATTAACTTTCTGCAGTGTGTCGTATAAAGTACCAAAGCTCCAAAAAGGATGGCTAAACATCTAACATTACCTCAGAAGTTGCAGGGTTTTGTTATACAAAGCTAGGGCTTGTGAAATTTTAGAGGATGATGTGAGATAGTCCACGCAAAGGCCTCCAGTGCAGTTGGGGTTGATGGGGAAGGGAGAAGAGTAATGAAGGGCTGAAGACTTAAGTTTCAGTGTACCACTGGGAGGTTACTCAGGGACTGGCAACAGATGGATTCATGAATGGATTTAGTCGCACAAGTAGTATAATCACATTGGTGGTGGAATATCTTCAGACAACAAAACAAAACAAAAAATCAGCTGCATCCAGAGAGTCCACTAAGTAGTCTCATTTACCAGTACCTTAAATAAGAAAGAAGGTGCATTAGTAACATAGAATTTACTCTAAAACATTAATAACACTCTATAACACAGCTGAGCTATAAAAGGAATTCAGTATAACCATCTTTTGTTTTCAGTTAATGCAATTATGAATGAGATGTGTCTTGTGACACCAGATAAGCCAGCACTTAAGTGTGTGGGATGTGCATATAGTAGGAGAGACCACACTATTATTAAGATGGGTAAATTTTTAACAAGTAGAAGAATTGAAGGAAAATACTCTAAGCTTATTTTTTTCTGAATATGGGCTCAGCTTTCAGAAATTTGGGAAATAGTGTTGCAACTATCTTGCAGAACTGCGTAGTGATCCCTATCTGTAAATTAGTATGCAATTTGGCAGTAACTATCACAACACAAGAAACTAAAAAGGAAAAACAGAATCTTAAAAAAACCCCCAACAGGTATTTAAGTAGGAAGAATACAGTATTACTATCAGCACTGACACCTTATTCTGTGAGAATAAAGTCAAATAACTTTATACCCCAGATGTCACGTATGATACCATACATAGCCAACCCCCACTTACACCTCACTTGAGAGGTGCCACTTCAAGCATGCAAAGGCATTTCTTTAAATTTGAGTCTAATAAAATATAGTATCGCTTAACTTCCACTCCCCAAAAAAGTACAGCTAGAGAATATGTTGAAGTCTCTCAGATGTCCACTTCCAAAACTAGTGTGCAACACTTAACAGAATCTTAGCATAAGGACTCCAGTTGCTGCATGCAACTTGTTTTAATAGTGAAATAAAGCAAAATATTGGCCCTTTCTCCCCTGGGAGAGAAGAATAATGATCATAAAATAAGGTACAAGTAATTGACCTGATTTTGATGAAATTATGAAATGATATCATGAAATAATACAGTATTGTTCTTTATACTGAGTCATCAGGTGCTGCATGAAAATGCAGTTAGTTTAGCAGTTCTGTAACTGGGTTTTTGCCATGTTAGTGTTCTCTATTCTGCCACAGTGGATTTTTCCTTCACGTTTCAGTAGTTGTAAAATCATGGCCCTGCCCTACAGAGACATGTTCAACAACAGTACTGTTGCCATGCAAGACTTACTGCTGTTTCAGCACATGAAGGATGAATTCAATCCTCAGTAGATTCAATCCTCAAACCTACTACACTGATGACTGCGTTGGAGTTCCAGAGTTTCATTAAAAGATAAAATGTAACAAATTAATTAATGGAGTTCCTGTACTGAATTAGAAGGAAAGTCCCGTCAGCTTGTTCTGGCTTTTAAAAGCAAAAGGATATTTCCCAGAGTAAATGTCTAAGGGGGAAGCAGCCCTGCTCCAATCAGCAGCACAAATTCTATATATCATGTTCTACCCTTACACACAGCTGAGCAAAACTACAACCTGGACATCATTTTAAAAACAAGTAAGAGTTGGAAATTTCTTACAACTTCTCCTGTCCCCAAGCTTACCAATATATATAACAATATATTGGTATATATAGTAACTATATATATGTAGTAACAGTAACTATATCAATAGTTACTGTTAGATGAAAACAAGGGCAAAAATAGGTTCTGAAGGCCAGAGTGAGTTGAGATGAATGTTTTCCACTTGTGGGTCAGAAAGGCACTGACAAGCTTAGGGAAGGGAGAAAAAAAATCTTTTTTTTTTAATGAGTTCCAGCAGTGCAAGTTTAGATATTTATATGCAGGTTACTGATTAGTTGTTTTTAAAAGGCAATAAACCCAGAATTTAAGTTGCTTATCATTGATCATCATATTATTTCAGGTATCCTCCATGTGGTGAAGAACCTGACCTGGAATTAATATTCAGGTTGCTTAGTTCAGCTTGTTAAAAATTTACCCACTTATTTACAGCTGGTTTTATTTTATTCATCATAATCAAAATTGTTCTCATTCACAGATACATTCCAGAGTTAGTAAATCAAGGTCAATCCATTTGCTCAATTAGATTTTTGCCTAGAATTTGTTTAGTTTGATTTTAGTTCTCCTACAAGCTCAGTCTCTTCCATGCAAGAAAAATTACAATTCAATAGTTAATTCAGGCTGAATGAGTAGAAACAAAATACAAACGCATCATCACAGGAGCATGCTAGAGTCCTCAATTGTCTGTTTAATTAACACCACCCGCCCATCCCGCCAAAACCAAAACAAAGAAAGAAAACTAAACAACCACCCCAAAAAAGCTTACTAAGCAGCAGCAATGGCTGTACTGTAGAATTTTTTTTCTGAATGAAATTATGAAACACAACAACAAAGAACAAATGACATCAGCATATAAACTTCTTTTTCTTACCATATCTTAATGAAATATCTTACTCTGGCATAAGTAACTAACACTGTCATCCATATTAAGAACTTTCTTTTAAAATAAAACATATATTAATAGGTTGAAGATGCACCTTCATTGCATATGCACACAGTCCCTTTCCCCAGTTTTGCAGATAGGCCTTTTAGGGTCTCTTCTCTTTACACAAAATGAATTCACTTATCCATCAAGAGTAAACTACAAAAAGAATATTCTATAGATTTAGTAGATGAAGATTTCTAACCATACAATAGTTCCAAGGGGACCAGAAAAATGAAAGGGGTGCATGAAGCCTTTCAGGGACAGAAGCAAAGTCTTCACTTTATTTAAACAAGATCCTCCAAGTAATTTTAAATGTTATGAGAAGAAATACAGGATAAAGGATGGAACCTTATTCTAACTGCAATGCACGCTGTAATGAAGGCAATGCCAAACTCTGCTAGGCTGCTCCAATCTATATCCCTTTTATAAACTGTGTACAGTCTGCATAGCTAGACAAAGGGAAGGGAGACTTCAAGGTGCCATGTGCATCTAACAACTAAGAATTTCATGGCACATGAGGATGAATTCGAGATGGCATTCTCTTGGTTCCCTTAGGTACCATATGTCTAATTCACACCCTCAAACACTCGTGTGCATGAACAACAAAAAGCATCGGTCATTTTTGCTAAAAATAAACAGATGGAATACAAAAAAACAGACACTTAAACTAGTGTAGATAGATAGCTTTTAAAAAGTGATCTAGTTCAAACAATAACTAACCTGAGACGTACTTTGCTCCGATTAACATTATCATGCTACTCATAATAAAAAAACCCAAAGGCAGACTACAGAAGATACTAGTGTCACCTGATGTCATCCAGAGGAGGGTGTTTCCAGTCAAGCAAATCAAAAGAGAAATATATATATAAATTGCAATATATGTGTTAAAAATCATACGAACAGCAAAAAGTAACAAATGTAGTGACATTTGCAGAAAAACTAAAAAAGATTATGCATAACCCCCACAATAATTCAAAACAGGCTCTCAATGTAAGAGTTCAAATCCAAATTCCACTGTTGTTAGCACTATCTAGGTTGAGCCCATTTCTAGTATTTTCAATCATCTTAAATACTCCTAGCAGGCAGAAGATAAAGTTTCAAAGCAAGAAGGAAAATAAATTTCCACTCCCAGTGTTAAACTAGATAATCACTGAGGGTAAGTTTTGATAAACATATCCCTTTTCACATGAGCTGAAGAACAAGATCTAGTTTTATTTCTGCAAGGCAGAATTTTCTATCCTTCAAAAGGAAATAAAGATATATAAGTAAGATATGCATCAAGCACTTGGGATTTTAGGATACACAACTGAGAGTTTAGATGTAAGGCTACTAAACCCTAATGGACAATACTGCAGTGAATCTTGTTACTCATGCTAAGTTACCTATTTTCCTTCCAAATAGCCTTGATAGAACTGTTTGCATAACCATGGTGTTAAATAAAATACTTAAACCAACATATAGGATGGTAAAAGGAAAATTTGAGTTTTCAAGACAAGTTAAGACACTTCATGCATCCTGAGGGCTGCAACTGTGGGAGGAGTTTACATTTTGAGGATTCTTTACTTAATACTTTTCATTCTAGTAGTTTTTCCAACAAAAGGGAAATTAAATGAAGATAAGGCCCATAAATGATGTATTGTAGGATGATTCAGGACAAAAACCTATCCTGAAATAGTGCTGAAACAAATTAAAATTATAGATCATAGAAGACTGCAGATTTTATTTAATTAAAACCTCACAGATGAAAAAGCCCTCTATTTCAAAAGAAAGATTTTGTTCAGTTCCTCAAAAATGATCGTATATTCTCTGTGTGTGAACAACAGGTCTGTGCAATTCTTCACTTTATGATAACTTCTTGGTCTTAGCCCTTGTGGGTCAAACAGATTTTGATGTGGCTACCAATTCCTCCTTCCTACACAGCAAATAATAAAGACAAGATAGCAAGAAAAATCACAGGATGAAATTTTTCTCCTTTGCAACATGAGGTTATAGTATAAGAAAGTTTACGAAGTCCCTGCACTGTCTTAGAATTGTGCTGTATCTCTTCTTCTAGGTAAGAATTTTTTATTTTGTAAACCAATACTATTCTGCAAAACCTGCAGTTAGCCTTGATTTCATGTCCTCTGTTTTTAGAGCCCTACAAGATATTGCTTGTGCCCTCCTCTCAAGAGCAAGACCTATCTATCTATTTTCCTGCTTTGTTTCCACAGTGGTTTTAAGTAATAATTTTTAAATCATTGGCATAGTAGATGCCAACGGAGATGGTATGAACAGAAAGGGACACCAAACTCAAGATTAACTACCTATGCTAACTGGCTAATTAATAAATTTGACCTGCATTAATTTCTGGATTACCATTTGAAGGAGCTTCAGATGTCTCCCAGCCCATAGATTTCATTACAGCTTTCTTCCATCTGGCATAGCGAAATTCACTTTCTGAAATTGAGATATCAGCAAACAGAAAAGCCTCTTAATGCGTATGAATACAACTATAAGTATTTAAGAAGCAAAGGCTACAATATTAACTTTCTATTCTTTTGTGCAGTATAGTTTGTCTGCACAGAACAAGTATTATAAAATGCTGTTTTGAACAAAAGAACCAAACCAAACCAACCCAAAACCCCACAGTTATACACAATAAGGAGAAATGAACCTTAAAAACAATTTTCTGCATGTTCACCAGTAAGAATATTTACAAGTAGGACAAAATGAAGCAATTGTTATTCATGTAGAAGTCCTTCAATGTTGAAATTTCTGTCTTGAAGTAGGGGTTATAGCTGTAATCAGAATCAAAATGGTAGGATAAAATGCTGTACCAAAAACTAAGAAATAATTGAAAAGACAAAAATGCATTTGTCTTGCACATGGATTAATTATGTCAAGTACATACTTTCCATCTCTAGAAGCACTCAAGAACTGATGAAGAAGATAGTTAGCTAAAAAATAATGACTAATTTAGGCTTTTTAAAGCCAAAAGAAAAGTCTCCCAAAACCAGTCAGTCTGTCCTTTCTACTTATGTGAAAACTCACAAATGCACAGGAGCTTTAGGAATCATCTTTCTCAGTAAAAACCTTTCAAGATTTCTTTAATTTTACTTGCTATAAATCAAAAGCTACTAACTGCAATGCCCAGTGCCAAACTTCTTTCAAAAAGAAGAAAGGAAAAAACCCAACGCATTCCCTTGTGGAGTTACGTTGTTATAAACATTTTCCAATCTTACTAGTCACTAAATGGACAAAACAGCAAATGAAATGCTGTTTTCTCTAAACAAACTTTTCTCTAAACCAAACACTACAAAGCTGATCTTCAAGATCGCTGATGATATTCATATATAGCTGTTTTTATACAGTAGGTTAGACTGGAACAAAGAATAAACCTGATCTGTTGGACGTAAAATATTGAGTTTGCAATTTCTTAGATAATATGAAAGGGTTTTACCCTCCGGGTTGATCTGTGGTTCAAATCGTTCACATGTCACTGCTGTCAAATCTCCAGGATTCAGACTCCAAATTCCAACTCCTTCTGCAGCTCCTGCTGCCATAGCAGCTCCTAGAGCTGTTGTTTCAGGCATTGATGGCTTTACTAAAGTAAATCACAGAGAAGGCCATGATGATTTTTAATGAAAGTCACCTTGATGACAACAGAACTGAAGATTTACATATATATCTAGAATGATATATATTTTTCTACAACTGCGATATGCTTCCTTTAAGTTTACCAAGTGCAAACCTCATTTTATTGCCATTCACATATTATGAGGCGAACCACCTATGAGTCATCCAAGCCTTTGAAATATTTCAGATCACTACTTCCTTCAAGCCTGAATCATACAACTGACCATTTTCATACCACATGCAGAGCTACTGATCTCAAACATGAGTTTCCTTAGAATACTTCTGTTAATAATATACTATTTTTTTGTCTTCTCCCTCCCTTCCTCCCTCCCCAAAGCTGTGATCACTGGCTAAGTTATCAGTCTTGTTCCCATGCTCTAGATATTGTGTTATTAAAAGCATTTCTATTTAGAAAAGGCATCTTGAAAGAGGCTACACACCTGTTCTTACTAGCTTGTTTGCCTTCCACAGACCCTACAGAAGACCATCCCATCCCCAAGATGTCAATGGCAAATCTGTTCCACTAACTGTAGAACTGCCTGCCTCTGTGCTTCAGGCAGAGGATCCTTTAAAATCTGATTTTATTGATCATATTGTTTCATCTGCTAACTATGCATCTGCACTGATAGTATGAGCCTTGTGTATTATGTATTATTAAAGGCAAGCTATAATATCTCTAGAGTTAAAAACTTTCCACTGAAATCAAAGGTTTGTGCAGGCAAAGGGAACAGAAAAAAGGGTATTTGCTATTTGCTGAAATCCAGGAGCAAAACATGAGCAGTGGAGGTGCAAAGCTCTGATTTATCTCTGAGCAAGAGTCTCAGGACCAACATGTTGCAGGAGAGTGTTAATTTCACTGATTTTTAAGATTGTTAGATGCTTAGAAATGGATATGACAATTTTAAAGTTCAATACCATCATAGTGCTGTAATATTTCAACACAAGAAAAAAGTCGGTGATTCTCTATGAAAGTGAATCTCAAAACTGGATGCAAGATCTAAAAACATTCTCTGTAAAACCCCCAACATTCTCAAGCAGCAGCAAAAGACAAAAACCAACAACAAAGCAAGCCATCCAATCATCAGCCATTATAAACCGATGTTGTTTTCAGCTTTAAAAAGAAAACAGGAGTTGTAATTTCATCTTACCTACTGGAATACAGAGAATGTCTGATTGGAGTTGCATGAGGACTTTATTATTGGTCATTCCTCCATCTACTTGTAACTGATTTAGTGGTATCCCACAGTCCTTGTTTATGGCATCTAAAATCTTAAGTAAGAGTAATATATGTTATGATTTAATTGCAGAGAAAGCCATCATACTCTCTGAGTGTAAAATACTGATAATTCAGCATTTGCTGAAGAGTCTTAAGTAGATAATTCCCCTTCCTTATACATCAAGAGAGCAAAACAGAGGTAGTGACAACACAATTTTGTTTAATATACAGCAAATGCATTCTATTTATTACAGAAGTCCTAGCATAGGAGAAGTTTCTCTGATGCTCTATATCTAGCCTATGTGTTGCTTATATGGTCTGAGAGGAAGAATTTTCAAGAAAAGCTGATGACAACTACAACATTTATCACAGCTAACAAAGGAAGAAGTAATACTAAACAGAGTCATTTAGCTGATTACAGTTTCTCTAGATACTTTCTTTAAAACGTTTGAACTGGCAATCTGGAAGACACTTCAATAGGAATTGCTGAACATTGAACTGTTTTGAAAGAGCAGATTCTTGAAATATTTTCAATTAATTGTTGAAAATTGAGAATTTTACATTACACAAGATAGACTGCAAAAATAAACTATTAGTGTAATTTTTTGTAAAATTATGTTTCCTTCTTTTGGGCACAGTGAATAGCTGAAAATAAATGAAGAGTGTTAAAGTGTTTGCAAGGGATAATTGAGTGGAGTATTTAATTCACTGATACCTATCAATATGCTTTTTACAAGGTTTCCTAAAAATGTAAGATTTGCCTCAAACCTTAGCTACTGGTTATACCATGGCATTATCCTACAAGTATCTATTAAACGCAGAATTGTGGGTTTTCTAGGGTTTTGTAAAAGCAGCCAATTAAGTCTTGTTTACATTTTTTTAAGGTTAGTGCATAATTTTTGTTGACAAAGTTAGGCATTAACTAGTGCAGAATGATTTTCTTTTTTGTAATTTTTCAATTTATTTGAATAAAAAAGAGGTGTGCTTTTCGCAGCTTTAAATGACAAAGTAACATAGACCATGAAAAAGACCAAAACTACAAGGCATTCTGTGCTGTTCTGCAGTTCACAAAATATCCAGTTATACAATCCTTACTGGGAAAAGCCAACATATTCTTTAAAAAAAAGAACAAAAAACTTTTAGGTTTGTAAGGTAGTAAAAAATATATAGAGATGAGCTGTCCAGTAAATTCTACTTGTTCCCAGAAAGTAAGTCAGCAAGGTCTCTTATCAGGAAATCTTTAAAGGAACTAAAATAACTGACGCAGGATAAATAATGGTTAAAAATTAGAAGGTAAGAGTAAAAGGCCATTTTTCATGGTGGCAGCATTTGTCCATGGGCCTGCACTGTTCAATACATTACAAATAACCTGGAAAAGAGGATTTATATCACAGCAGCAAAGTTTGCTGTCAGTACTAAGCTAGTACTGTTCCCCACCACTTATTTCCTTCACATGTATCATTTTACATTTGTCTATGCTGATTTTACCTGCTTTTTTACCATTCAGAACTTCAGCACTGCCTCATAATCTCAGCTTTACATACACATACTGTTTCCTCCAATAGCGGCTTTGTTTACCACTGTGCAAGAGCATGTTGGATCATACTATGTACTCAGCAGAGATTAAAAAAATGAAAAGAATGCTAGAAATCAGGAAGGGATGAAGGAACAAAGCAAATCATGATCATGCTGCTGCTCTCTCCATTGTACTGAGGTTGGATGAAGAGCAAGGTGTCCAAGTATGTAAGTTTTGTCTAATGACAGCATTGTACAGCTCTTAGAAGTGAAAAATTTTTTATTCTTACATAATGCCTTCTGGAAGAAAAAACGTAACAAGTGTCATCTGTCTGCACAAGGAAGGAGCTTTTTGGATAACAAGGAACAGAGACTTAGAAGGATTGAATGGCACAATAAAACAAGCAAAAACTCCAATGAACATGAAATTCGAGGATTTTCCTGAAGGATGCAAAAGACTTCCATTTTAACTGGAATTAAAACAAAAGAACTCTGTTTCTGACAAGACAGAACTAACAATGTATCTTTAAAAAATGTACATATATTTTATCTGTGTCACTAGGCCTTAATCTTCATTTAAATGTGTCCAGAGACCTGATCTGGCACTCCTGTCACAGTGATAAAAGCACACTGACTAAAGCATGAGGAAGTATTAGATTTGTTCAAACAGTTAACTTCACCCTCACTCAGTTCGAAAGATTTATTCCCCTCCCTCCTACTCCCAGCCACATGCCCTGTCTCTTGTTCTGACATTTGCTACACTCCGCTGTGAGGCAGCTGAGGTCATTAATCCAGCAGAAAAATAGCCCAGCAAAAAGAGGGATAATTTTCTGCTGGAAAGTTCATTGAGTTGTCACGTGACAGGGAATGGATGGGAGGAGGGATAAGGAAAGAGAGGAGCAGACAGAAAACTAGACTATCGGTTCAGTTCCCTCTAACTTTACCCTGACTTCTAGTACCAGAATTAGAGATATATACTACCTCCAAGCTCCTTCATGACTTTCTGAGGACTCAGAGGCTGTTAGCACAGGTTCGAAAGCAGATGTCTGGGTGGAATTTCTGGCTGTCTTTTTCCACATGAGTACTTTTTACTCTATTCTATGTCACTACAGAAACAGCAAGCTGCTTTCCTCCTCTCACACAGTTTTAGCTGGGTGTTACTTTAAAACTCAGTATGTTTAAATAACAGCAGTTTTAAAACATGCAATCAAATTAAGGTTTGACTGTCACCCTTTGGGGTCTAGGGATTTCATTTTCTCCTGGATTTGTATGGAACACAGGGAGCGTAAATTGATAGTAGATTGTGACATAAAGATTCTAATGCTGAGAACATACTGATATCAACCCCTTTGATTTGGTTGGAGGATACATTTCTTCTGTGAGAATTCAGGTTTGCTGTTGCACAAAGCCAGCTAAGGCAATACAAAATGTAATGGGCAGGAAGTGAATCCAGATTTCCCTTGATATGTTTGCTGCTGTCTTGCTTTAACTCATTTTTCTTCAGAAGCAACACAAGCCATCTCTGTCATAGCAGACAATATAAAATGTAGTCTCCTACACTAATGCAACCTTTTAGTTATGGCACTGGCCTTGTTATTTTAATGTTTCTATGTTCTGCCTCTCAAAATAGTCACAAAATAAGTTCACCTTATTTTAAGTGCTGATAAAAAGCAGCATTGTCACTCCAAAATAATGTACCGCCCACCCACATCATTGTAGCTAAGCCCACAGGAACAATTTTTCAACATTAGCACCAAGTAAAGAGAAGAATAGCATCCAAGTACAATATAAAGTGTATAATTAATCTTCGTTAAATCTTTTCAATCTTCGCTCTTCCTGAAGAGCTACAGTCCCTGTTATCATACTAATTTACAATGAATTTAGGACCCAGTTTGCCTTTACCTCTCGTGTTTGAAAGCAGACCGCTTCTAGCGCAGCAAAGGCGATGTGTTTTTTATTTGTAAACTGAGTAAGGCCACAGATAATACTGTTGAGAAAAGAAAAAAACATAAAAAATTGCAGTTAGGACATAGTTCTTTACCAGACATACACCGTTATTTCAGACCTAGGCCTTCTAATTCAAAGCTCAGTCAGTTCCATTGTATGAGGACTGCTTTTTAATATTAAAAAGCTTGTTTCTCTTTAAACTCTCTCATTCTTGTTTTTCTGACAAACATGCTTTCAGTGTCCAATCAATACAATTGCCATGAATTAAAATTTTATTGCCAATCTCATGCAATTGGGTGCATATTCACCTATACACACACACACACAAATCCTACTCTTCCTTTAAGAAAAGGAAATTATGACTGAGGCTGATTTTTCTTTAAAAAATAATCACCTATCACTAAAATCTTAAAAAATTCTCTAGTGCTTTCAGTTCTTAAAGAAAAGCCCAGCTGGCTCAGTGCTGTGCTTTAAATGCTTAAAGTTGCATTAGTTGCTTCTGCACCTTCAAAGAGATTTTTGGATATGGAAATTATGCTACATCTAACCATGAGTAAGCTGAATTCAGCCAACGTACTCTGAAGTGCAGAACAAATAATCATCCTTTCATACTATTTCAACATCTGAGGAATAGTAGCATACTACACAGAAATGCCGCTGTATTTGGTGCTGGATACATGCAAGTTTAAAGATATTAAAGGACATTTTTAGTTGTTGCTATTCCAAAGATCAGCTTTTAACAGTTAAAAAGTTAAGCACTGTGATCTGAAAAACTGTAAAAATATCTAACTCAAAGATTTTTTTCTTCCTTATGTACAAAAAGTATCTAAATTCTAAAGATTCAACTACTCAAAACCTTGGGAACTATATATTATTTAAGATTTCTTTTCTCACTTTAGGAAAGCTATTTTATATTTAAATTTGTTATGTTTCTGTGACTCCCATGGCATGTCGTGATTCCAGCAACTGTAGGCAAGCTCACAATAGACAAATAGGTGGTAATTGTTTGAACTAGTAATTCTAACTAGTACCACCTAGTTAGATTTTAACAACCAGGAAACGGACTGGAAGGAGAGGAGAAAAGAGTGTTCAACAGACTGGAAAGAAAGCTGGACATAAGGGGAAGGAGAGGGAGGAGAATTGGGGAGGAATTAAGTAGCCTGTATCATTTCAGATAGTGAATGGAGCAGCCATGGGAAACTGAGCTAAAAAACCCCAAACTAATCAGCACTAAGTTCTTCACTTTCTACTTCTGTAGCCTGACAGCTCAGAGGTATGCAGACCTCCTCTTTCTCTTTAGTGAGATGAAAATCCTTTCAGAACCAGAAATGTATGAAGCAAAAAAGCTGACCCCATTAGCAGCAAGAATGATAGAACTATCTTTTATTTGTCCTCCAAAATACACAACTCAGCCCAAATATTTTCCCTGCCCCCTTTTTTTTTGGAGGGAGGGGAGAGGAGTGTGAGTAGCTGAGCTAGCTAATCTTCCTTTTTCTCCTAGTAGCAGTTGCTGTTTTGAACTGATTAAATACAAAAGGGAAACACAGTAGGTGCTTGAAGATACCACAGAGAATGATGTATCCAGACGGAACAAAAAGAACAATTTCACATACCTGGAAGGACAAGTGATAGTATTTGTAAAATCATCTCTTTGTAAATGCAGTATTTAGTCAGATCCTTACCCCCTTGCACTGGGTTCCCAGTATGGTGCATACAGTCCTGAAAATGCTGGCACAAAGTAGCAGCCATAAGAAGTTCCCACTTCCGCGGCCAGTTTTTCTAATGCACACACACAAACAGTCTTCACTTAGCTTTCCACAACTGTACCAACACTTAAATATGACATTTAAAAGTGTTATTATTTAAATAGGGAAAACATTCAGAATATGTTAGGTAGCTACAAAAATAATCAAGCCACATACAATTAGAAAATACAACTAACTCTGACACTCTGCTCCTCATTACCTAGCTGTCTATTTGCAACAATATGAATGGAAGATGGGGCACAGGGAATTGTGGGAAATGTAAAATGAAAAATCAAAACCAAAAAGCAAAATCATGTACTTAATATTCTGACCTAGATTCTGTAAGGTTTTCAAAGGGTATACTGTAGGTAAAGAATACAACCTTCAAAGCAGTTCAAAAGGTCACACTTGCATTTAAGTCAAGGCAAGCAAATGAAACTGGATCAAGACCAAAGGGAGTTAAGAACTAAATTCCCATTAATTTCAAATGGATTTAGAGTTCTAAATTCTCAGCTTACGTATATAATCATAAGGCCAGCTAGAAGGAAATCTGAAGTTTCTTAATATCTGAGTAGTAACTTTGGATATCTAACTCCCCAATATTAAAATATCTGTAATTTTTAAAATTATATTAAAACACCTAGATCTGCAAAGGAAGTAATGCTAATGTGCAGCTCCTTCCTATAACAAGAAAGGAAAGGGTTTTTTCCCTGCTTTTGTAAATTTCTTCTGTTTGCATTCTTCAGAGAAGCATAGCAATAGAGAAAAGAAGTAGGAAAACTTATTCAAAAAGTCTTTTTAAAATGGTTCTTTCATACAGACTCCACTTAAAAAAAGGAGTGAAGGGAGAAGGAAGGACATGTTCAGGGAAACAGAAAGAGATGATGAAGACCCACATGACTTTAACAGCACTGACAAGATTAAAGTTCTTGAAACTCAAACCTTCCAAAGGTCTAAACTTGTGAAGCCAAGAGTTACTGCAGTGTTTCAACAGCTGGCTAATTCACATGACAGTACTTTATATTCTTCTGTATGATCTGCGAAGCTTTCTTACAGAAAAACAGACTGACATTTGAAGTTTTTGCTTATTCTTTGAAGCTTTACATAAAATTTGAATTCTAAATTTTTCCACCTTTGAATAAGATATCGAATTATTAAAAATATGTAACACTGCTTTTTAATCCTAAATCTCATTAAACCAGTCACTTTCAGACTGTTACACTTGCATGTTTCTGACATTATCTTCTTTTTCAAAGTTCGATACATTCCTAGTTTCTACAATGTCACACACCAGCTTGTTTCAGTTCAGCTCAAGCAGAAAACACCCGCTACCCCAATGCTAAAGGATTACTGTATTCTTAGCCAAAACAGATTACCATCCTCCACAATTCCTTTACGAGGCAGCTTTGCAAACTGAGGTCCCTAACTCAATGGACATGAAGCCTTCTACATAAATCGTTGCATTTAGAATAGAATCATAGAATGGTTTGGGTTGGAAGGTACCTCAAAGATCATCCAGTTCCAACCCCCCTGCTGCGGGCAGGGACACCCTCCACTAGACCACATTGCCCAAAGCCTCATTTGTAGGGCCTCAGGTTCTCATGTTTATGATGGGAATGAATATGTAGGTTTAGGATCAAATATGCTCTCATTTCTGTAATAGAGACTTAAATACTCTTGGCTCTGGAAAATTCAATATTGTATGAAACCAGGAAATATACTGTAAGTACAGTATCTTCCTGAATATCAGTTTGCTGCAGAAACTACTAAAAAGTACAGACTGCAATAGAACAAAGCTGACAAAGGGTTTCAAAGACTGTATTGATATGCTCTATGAAATACATCTGTCAATTAACAGTGATTTCATGGATGCAAAACGAATTGTTCAAACAACAAAATATACACATCTTCCAGCCTTTCTTTACTTGAATATTTTGAGCTTTCATTCAACATTAGAGACATCAAGACATTGGAAAAGAAAACTTAAAAAAGTGAACAGCTCCAAATCGTGAATACTCACCAACTTCCTGTGAAGTCTTAACGATACCTAGATTGTCCCTCAGCCAACGAACAACAGCACCAGCAATTGCAACAGATCCCTGAAGGAAACAAAATCACTGTAACATTAGGAGACAACAACTGGTAGCTTTGTGTGTCTTTTTACAAGACTGGAGAGGAGGGGTAGCTGGGGCCTCCAATTGCAGGCTTACAGTCATAGCTTAAAGCACTCCCAAGAACGCTCACAACCAAACCACAAGTCTCTTGGCAGCTGGAGACTGGCATGTAAAAATGGCAGCCTGTTACACAGGCTTCATGTAGAAAAGGTGCATATTGCATGATTTTTTCCCATGGGCGAGGAGTTACCATGAAATTTCCTAAGCAGTCATCTTGTCTCTCTAATTTAGGTCTTCTCCTGCATATAAAGTTACAAGGTCCAGTAGCCTCAACCTTATTTTGCGGCTAACTTAAGAATTTTATGCTTTGATTTAAAAAAATAAGATTGATTATGTCTAGAGTCTAAATACAGACAGACAGAACATTCAAGTGTTTGCATTTGCCAGCAAAATTGCTCTGTTGCCTCAGCAAATGGCCCTGAATGGTTCCATCATAGTATAAACGAATGACATGGCTCCCATCTCATTCCAAAGTCCAAATGGAATTCTCTACAAGACAGTCTCAAGTCTACTAGACTAACTTCAAGTAAAATGGGAGCAGCATTATATTTTCATTCAAAGCCATTGCTGGAAGGAGCAGGGCGTGTTTTCTAACCAACTAGCTATCACAAGATATGGGTTTGATTAAAAGGCTGAATCCACATTTTTTGTCTCTCTGGAAAGTGTCTTAACCAGCAGATTGTAGATGATATACATGGATATAGGAGAAAGGACACTTGATATCTTCTGTTGAAGCCATTTCTTCAGACAATATCATTAAAGACGTGGAGATAAGGAAGAAGCAAAGTACACATGCACGTGTTTTAGCATGCAGAAACACAAATCACTCTCAAGACGGTTCCAGTTCTTGCTGTATGAACGTGGGTTAAAAATAAAACAAACCTCTCGCACACCCGCACAAAATGAAACCCCTAAAGTTTGCCAGAACATAGCAAATGCAAGATCAACTTTCCTTAGGGAAGAAAAAGGAAATGAACACAGCCTCCCACATCCTAGTAAAGTACTGTAAGCCACAAACTATTCTCCCAGTGACAAAAATCCTGTGGTTTGTCTTCATCTGTTTCACATGGAAAACACAGGCTGTCTACAAAAGCTCAATGGCAGCAGAGAATTCAGTACGCGTGTTTCGAGAATAACTATTACATCAAGCCCGCTAAGCAACATAGATGGAAGAATAATTATTCTGTTATTCTTGATGAAGGTTTGGTGCCAAATAGGTGCTCAGCTGATCTGTGCTTCAGAAGCAGAGCTTTAGAACAATGAACCCTTAAGTTAAGTAAAAATCTAATTTTCTACAGAATTTGGATGCCCTCCTTACTGAGGAAGTAAATTCTGGAAGTAGGCACCTAAGTCTTAGTAGGTAAAAAAAGTTCAATTGTTAGAGGATTCTTGTCCCAGAAATTTGATTCAGTTTTTTAAAAGTTACAGGTAAAATCCATTAGAATGAAATAAAAACAAAAAAAAAATTTAGTTATGACTTTTATTATGAGAGGATAACTGAAACACTAGTGCTTTTCCCCCTCTTTTTTTAAACCAAATTTTTGTATTAAAAAAATGTTTTATTTATTTATAACACTTATGAAAGATTTGAAAGACTGTGTAACAGAAAAATGTTTTAGCCATCATGACCTGAAAATATAAATGATGCAATGTAGAAATATTTTTATTGGATTATGTGATATAGATTGGAGATAAGGATAACCAAAACCACACATAAGCCTTGAGGCACACAAGCTGTAACATAAAACTATTTTGATTTCCATGCAACTGAAGACAACATAAGGATACTAGAAAACAAGTAAATAACAACATGTATCCCTACAAAAAGGAAGAAATTACTGGACTTACCTCTAGTGCATAAAAAACAGGTTTGTCTCTGCCCAGTTTGTAAGCTATTGTGGTTAGAAGACCATGCTCAGAAAACACAGACTAAACGGGGAAAGGGGAAAGAAAAGGTAAAGCATGAACAGAGGTAGAAAATATTTAAATAAAACCACTTGAATTATAATAAACAAGAGACAAAACCTTCACTGGAAAAAAAAGAAAGACGAAATGTTTAAACAAAGTAAATTATCAGTCACTCTAAATAAACACCTAAGATAGAACCCTCAGATCGCTGGTCTTAATTCTCATTTCTACAAGCTGCCTCAGATCTTTCCAGCCTCCTTATAGCAAAGAATTGGGGGCCTTTAGAAGGAGATGTGAATGAGAAGAAAGCCAAAGCTTTGCATTATTTATTCAATTACAACTACAAAGAAACAATGGGAGAAAATGAAGGGCAGAAATAAAATAGCCAAGACAAGGAGAAAAGCATGTGGTTAAGTAACACAACTCAGCACTTCTAGGTGAGGTTAAGAAACATATACAAGGAAAGAGCAAGAAACTTGCTATGAAAAGTTCTTTTTGGAAACTTAAGGAGCTATGAAATGGAGTCTTACTGAAACACCTTGAACAAATTATTACTTTCTATCAGATTTCAGTATGTGCTTTTCCTTACCTCTGGCAATGTAACTGTTAATAAGTTTAAGAAATATGTAATATATAGTTGTACTCAAGAACTTTAAATATAGATTGTTAAAAAAAAAAAGTGAACAACTGAAAAATATAACTGACCTTCTGACCTGTATTGCACAGCAAGAAACATCCTGTTCCGTACCTAGCATGAAAGCAAAGGAAAGTTAAAACCAGGATGTTTAAAGGATAACCTGTTACTGCAGTTCATGAATCCATGACTCCCCTGTGGAGAATCAAGACACCATTTTTTGCCCCTTGAAGGTTATGTTACCATTAACTGATGATAAAACCATCCTCAAAAAGTTGTTTTAAATGCAGCATGCAGCTGAAAAATCCAGTCCCATGCCTCTCTCTCTGGCTGTTTCTTGTATACTACTTGATCAAGGAGCAGATATGGCTGAAAACCAAGTGTGAATTCTCTTTGGTGGCAGTGTTTACCTACTTCAATTTAAGCTGATTATGAAAGCTACTTTATAAAATAAATATTTCACAATATTAAATTCAAGCTTTTAAAGGGGAAAATTTAGGAACCTTTGTTCCTGTCACACAGAGGGTTTTCTTTAAACATATTTAGTTCAAAAATTTCTAAAAATGGCATTTTTCTCATTCGAAGACCACATCACATATATGTGTGCATACACATACACATAAGGACACAGTTTAATAAAAGGAGCACAAAATACTTACAATCCACTCTAACTTATTCCAAGAAATTATGAGTTCCCTACCTTTTTAATACCCTGAAAATTTACAGCTTAAAATAGTACTGAGATAGTCTTCAGTTATATTTGGAGAGAAAAGGGGTAAAGCAATAACACAAACAGATTAAAAAATATCTCACTTTTACCTTTTGGTTTAGCTGTTGTTTTTCTGGTTCGTTGTTTTTTTTTTTTCAAAAGGTCTTTTGTGTTATAAAAATATTTTGTGACAATATTATTTAGAATCATGCTCGCTTTACTAAAATAGAAGGCCACTGACCATTAAATTTGTGTATAAATATAAAAGATAAAGTGAAGGTTAATTAGCAACAAGTATAGATTAATGTGTAATTAAATCTGTGAAAGACCCATATTGGGTATATATCTGCATGCTCAGTCAAGCACATGGTTGTAAATGGAACAGTAAGTCATTTAAGCAGAGAGCTTTTCCTCACATGAATGTTTGATTACACCAGTTGCCTGATTTAACTGATCGGCTATTTTAAACAAGGCATACTAAGAGGCTGAGAAATAGAAAAAAACCAAAATGTAAAATTCTCCACACTGAGCTAGACACAAGAGCAAAACAAAGCACTGCAACTGAAATAAACCTTTCCCATCTAGCAATGCTGTGGATTTTTTGTCATTCAAGTCTGTGCAATCTAACTCACACAGCCTGTATTTCTTTAACTTTAGGTCACAATTTAAATGATACTGCAACTGTTTTACTCTGTGTTTTTGAGAATTTAAAAACTAAAAAACTCCTGTCACACAGATACTTCCTCACAGTGACTTTGTTCCAAAATATATCTCAATAATCATGTAACTTTAATGTCTTCACTATTTTATATACAAGTAAGGATGCTGTGTAGTTTGTAGGTCAACATAGTCAAAAGGTAGAGCTGTAGTTATGCGGTAACTACAGAAGCACTTGGCAGTTAGCTTGAAAGAGAACATAATACTAAATTCAAACAGAGCACTGTGTTTATCTTACAACTTTCATAATAACTTACGTATTTTTTGCCTGCCCATCTTGAAAACACATTTGCCCAACAAGAGCAGCAGATTGGTCACCCAAGCACTGAAAAGAGAGAGAGAGAGATTTATTTGTATTTTAGCAAATGTCTGCACATGAATCACATACATGAAAAAGTAACATGAACAGATATATTTAACTATAGCTCAAGTCTATTAGGAGCATGCAGGTAACTGAAAGTGAGGAAAAATCTGTAGAGATGACCTGTGCTTTTTACTACTTTTTCCTTTGTAAGAACTGCAAATGAAATGTGTTGTGCTACTTATGGTGAACAATTCAAAGAAACCAAAATTAAAATTTAGTATCTTTATGCATGTTGTATTGGAAGAAAGCTGAGAATCTGCCCAATATTCCTGGCTTATGTATATACTGAACTCCTTTTATATATAAAGCAGAGCTTGCTTCCAGTTTGTAATGTTACTCCTAAGTTTCCAAAGACATTACACATATGCATTAAAGCTGTCAGCTGTATTTCCACAGCCAGTCCTTAACTTAATAATGAAGAATCCAGTCAATTAATAATTCAGGTTCAAAAGTTTACTTCATGTTTAACATGAAGTAAAAACCCATCATTTTTATTTGTAGCAGGATTCACTCATCTTAAAGCTCTTTCCAGTGAAGATACATTCATGCAGTATCAGGTTCTCATGCCACAATCTGAGTTGAAGTAGGACTTACCCCAGAAATTGGTACACCTGTCAAAGCTCCAGACTTCTGATTTGCAAAAAGAGAGGGAAAAAAGCTCTAAATTAGTTTTCCATGACTATAATTTAAGGCAATGGAAAAGAAACTAAACTTCTAATGCTCAAAGGAAAACAAAGAAGGGTCACATAAGCACATGGTTCAGTTCAGGTGTACATTAGACTTCAGCTTAATGCATTAGACTTTAGCTCACACTTAAACCACTATAAAATAGAGAGCAGGAAATTCAGAGCTATACTTTATGTCACCTCAATAGTTTTTAACATAAATTTTGTTGAAATCGTAGTGTACAGAAAATTAGGTTCAATGTAACCTCTGCAGTCAGCGTCAAGTGTAAAATGCAAAAGTGTAAAAATGGTAAAGTGACTAGAAAAAAAGTGATTGTGATGACACACTAAGCAAAGACAGATGCCTCATGTTAAGATACAGCATTTTATGTCTCACATAGAATTTCTTCCAAACACTACCATGTAGTTTTTCAGTTGCATTCTTCTAGTAAGTACCATAAGAAATTTATATCCTGACTATTTTTACTTCTTTCTTGAAATTATTTCTTTGTGCAATTGTGAAAATGCATATTCAGTGAAGCCATGCAAGTGCATTTCCAATCTGAATGTTTTTTCTTTAATTTTCATTTTAATTAACTGGATTTATGGTAAATGAGTTTATAAATGCACTAAGAAATCCCTGCATCAATCTGATGTTTCACTATAATAGAATGAATATTTGTAAACAGAATGTCTCACTTTTCTCATTTATAAAATGAGACGGCCAACATTTATTAGCCAGTAACTGTATTTTTTTACTTCACTATAAAAAGAAATATTCAACAGCCTGCAAATTAAGGCAAACATATACATCAAGATTACATTTTAAAAACAACTTTGGCATGAACTCTAATTGTAATATCTCAAATTTGGAAATACCTGCCAAATTTGGTCTAGAAAGTGTGCTTTTACTAATCCTTAAACCAATGGAAATGCACAGCATCTGAAGAGAATGGATAAGCCTAATGGAAGCCTCTACTCACCAGGCTAGGACAGATTTTCTACAGTCAGCAAAAGAAAGAAAAAGAAACAAAATGGAAGGAAAGGGGAAGAGAAACAAAAGTTCACATTTGAAGTGACCAAGTATTCTGCTTCAGTTGCCAGGTAGTATCTTTTTCCATTTACCTTGCTCATTCAGCTTAATACAACTCACTCTCATCTGACCTTCACATTAATAAAAGTCAGCAAAGACTTCTAATGGCATGTCCATTAACAGATTAGCAAAAATACTTACATTTCAGGCAAGTTAGAGTTATATCTTAAATAAAAATCTCATAACTTCTCTTCATTACAAAATATCTGTATGTTCTTAGTAAACAACAGGGCAAACTACCAGGAAAAAGAATGCAAAATCACAACATCCAGTTTATCCAATTCTGAAGCTTTTAAGAATAAATTAGATGCCACTGTATCAGAAGAGTTGGTGCTGCATCAAAGTAAACTGGAAACCTCAGCCCCATGATAATAATTAATGATTTATTTCTAAGTAATATTCACAGCTGCACTGGAAGCAGTGTGATTAAAAAGACATCACAATATTCCAAAATATTTTTTTTACTGAGTGCTACATAAACATACACAGCATGAGGAGTTTATTTTTCAAAAAGAAGGCAATCTAAGGTGTCACTTACGATTTTCCAGTTCACAGAAACTGCCTAATCTCGCCTTCAATTATGTGGAAATGAGATATTACACATCTCATCCATTCTTAGATCATGAAGACGTCCATAGCAACTTTCATCTATTCTTTTCAATTGTACATGAAGTAAATATATGTGCTCTTCTAACAGCAATCTCATTCTTTTAATCTACTGATTATACATTGCATTCTGATGGGTAGTTTCTAAATGGATAAGTAATTGTAATAAAAAAATCAATTTTTTAACCTTATTAAAAACCTCTTCCATCTTGTTTTGTCTCTTTGACACTTAAAAGAGAAAATAACAGATATTCAACTTCATAATATACAACAGTAGATAATGACATACTAATCATAAATCAAACAATACTGGTCTAGAAAAAGCCATTAGTCTTAATCTATCAAAATTCTGTCAGATCTATATTGATATAGTTATATCTTTACAAAATTAACTTCACACACAAGAAAACATACCATCAAGCCATAAATCTCAGAGGAGCTTCGTACTTTTGGAAGTATTTCCATAGGAATATCAAAGAACCTGAACACAAAACAAAATAATTTTTATATATGGTCAGTGCTAAATCAAAAAGCATTTTGCATTTATTTTCTTAAATAAATTTAAGCTGTAAAGAAAAAAAAACTATAAAAAGAACTTTGATTTCTAGGGTTTAATCCATCACTGTGTTTTTCCACTTGTTACAGTATGTGACACTGAATTATGGAGTAAAACAGCATATATTTGAATATTTTGAAGACATATCCAACACTTTCATATGGGAAGCCATTCCTCTTCCAACAATATCTTTATAATATTATTAATAAATTTAAATTTTAGAGAAACTAACATTGTAAGTGCCTTACAAATTTGATTAAGGAATTAAAAAAACTATTAAATGCCATTGTTTCCATGAACCAGTCTTCCACCTTAATCCAGACAGTGGTAATTTGGACATCTAGAGAACAAAGAATCTTAATTGTTAATGTTAACAGTAAATACAACAGTAATTGCTGATCTTAGTCTAGATAAGAGATTCTTACTATTAAATGAGTTTCTTTACACATCACTTATAGAATCTAATTAAATAACAGTATTACTGAAAAACTGAGCTTACTGGCAGAGCTCAGGATCCCATTCCAAGGAATGAATGTTGAATAACATTGTTCTACTGGCATTGGTTACATCTGTACAGTGAACACCTCCATTCTTTCCGCCTGTCAAACTCTGAACAAAAAAAAATATCAATAGTATTTGCCAAGAAAAGATACACGTTTACTTCATACAATCACAAAAAAAAATTTTCTACCTTCACAAAACTTTCAGTTTGGGACTGAGAACTCTGACAGTTCTGCAACAACTAAAGAACTAAAGAGGTAGACCCGATATAGCGGAAACAAAGACATGACACAGGTAATAAGGCTACAGCAGTACCTCCTGGATTCTTATATTGCAAAAGTGGCTAATAAACTTTTCTGAAGTCCGCGGTTTTTCCAAAAGCATGAGCAAAATTTTATAGCAACGCATACATGGTAAACTACACATAAGCATCTTAAAAAAAAAAAAAATAGCGATACAGGAACAGTAAAAGTTCATCTTGTAAGGAATTTTAATGGAATTTCTTTAGTGGCTTGTATTGACATCACTGTGGGATCAGTGAGCATCATGTGTCATAGTACTTTGCACAGAAATTTGCATGATATGGAAATTCATTTTAAGAAGAGTGAGAATAAACTCACAAATACATACCCATATAAGCCACGAATCAATAGTCCCAAACATAGCTCTTCCATCATCAACAGCTTGCCTAATCTCTTCCACATTATCCAAAAGCCATCGAAGTTTCACTGCACTAAAATAAGTGCTAAGTGGAAGACCAGTCCTAAACTGTAAAATAAAATAAAAAATTATAATAATTTAAAGACCATGCAAGCACCTTTTTCATGAATACCATAGTTATATATATCACAAATGGTGACAATAAGTGGAAAAAACAAAGACAAAACTCAGAGAAATTACACAAGCTTGTTACTTAAGTAAGCATACAATACACAAGTCTGAAAATATCAAAAACAAATGACTGGTGCATTAATGGACAAAGATCAAAGCTGATCTAAACGCAGTTCAAAGACCATTTATGTGGAAATAGCTGTTTGCAGAAGTCCTGTCTTATCTAGGATATCTCCATGTGACTAGACAACGTTTTGTTATTTTTGTAATGACAACAGAAATGAGCAGCACGACACAGGAAAGATGGAATTTGTATTCTACTAGAACTTAAAAATCACAGTTTGTTTCTACTTGCTCTTAATTTTTGTGTGTGATGTTTACTTATTACTGGATAGGTAGCAAATGATTAAGTCTCACTAACAATTATTCATTTAAATTCTCTAGAGAGATACGTAAGGAGTATCAACCACTTATTTTGAAGAATATTTTTGAAGCTACAACTGACTGACTTTGTTTTAGGGAATTTTAAGTGCACATCTCCAAAACATTATATACTGTAACAATAAGAATTCAGCTACTATTTAAATGTTGTGGAATATCTCTTACCTTAAAAAAGGCTTTGTTTTTTCCTGGAATTCTTTTAAGAAGTCGTTCAACTGTTGACTGGGTTCTCAGGTCAAGCCACACTAAAACCACAAAATTAACTGATCAACTGATTTAATACACAAAAAGTGACATGTACAAGCTTCTTCTACAAAACTAGAGCTCTTGCCAATAAATTCCTGTCTTTATTTTTAGCTTTTCATGTAGTTGAAAGAATATTGTATTGCCATTGTATTTTTAATGCACTGTTGCAAAAATTAAAAATGGTTAAACTCATTTGATTTAGAAGAACAAATGATTTGAGAAATCAAACAGGATTTTCCACATAATAGGATATATATACTTTCCTCTACCAGAGCACAAGCAAATGACTAATACTACTTTGTTTATAGCAGATGATTGTCATTAAACTAGGAGGTTAAAACAAATAGGAGGTTGATTATTTACTACTGCTATGAAAACTTTGAACTGAAGTGCTATGTCAGAATTATCAAGGTACAGCTGGGCTTAAGATAAAGCTGTAAATAACATATATTTGAATACAGAAGAGTCCTGATTTTTCAGTGATATTATGCTAAACTAAATCTGGCACTTGACATGACCTATAAGAGCAAACCTAGACAATTACCGTTTCTCAGCTGACATAATCTGAAAAGCCAAGCTAAGTTAAAAATAAACCTCCAAATCAATAAGTATTCATTAAACCTACTTAACACATTTTTCATTTAAAGTTAAATCAAAAGCATCCTGAAAACTTAGTAAACTACTTCATTTAAAAGAAAGTGATTAGGTGTAAGTCATTAGGTGTAAGCTTCATTACATGCCAGAGACGTACAAAACCCATCAGGAACATTGTTTTTTGTTAAAAGCCCATAAAGCAATTTATTAACTATTAAGTAGTAATTTTAACAAAATAGGGATTTTTTTTTTTTAATTGCACTGGTGTATAGAAACACACAGCTTATGAGACAGATATCAAAAAATCAAAGAAGTGAGTAGGCTAGGCCACAATGAGATCTGCACAGGAAACTAGGAAAGCATTTTTCTACAACACGCTCATTTTATGATATTGCATATTCAGAAAGTATAGTGGTTACCAATAGCATTATAAAGAGGTTCTCCAGTTGTCTTGTCCCAAACCACTGTTGTTTCTCTCTGATTGCTGACTCCAATGGCTTCAGGACAAAATAGAAAGAAGTATCCTTTTCAGAAGGTTTGTTTTCCCCTTTTGGGGGGTGAGGGAGGGAAGGGAGAGGTGGAGAGGAGGGAGGAACAGGTAAGGAGAAGAGGAAAGTAAATGGGAAATAAAAAGCTTCCAACTTTTTCATGTCATAATCTAGAAATATTACTTCTAAAAATTCGTGATTTAACTTTTGCTGCTTAACCTATGTGACTAAATGTCTCCTTTTTTTTGGGCCACAAACTGAAACAGCAACAACACTGACAGGGAAACTAGCTTTTCCCAGTAAGTCCTAATATAAATGTCTCTGTGATTTTGCAAGATTAGGTTAAGCCTACTTTGTAGATTATGCATTGCTAATATATATGAAGGACTTTCTCATTATTCCTCCCAAACAAACCGCTCTT